TTTTAAACTATTAACCATCCCTCATTATTAAGAGTTATGAAAAAATGCTAAATATAACTTTTGAAAGAATTTGATAATTGAAAAATGGAGAAAAAAATGGAAAATGTGTATTGAGGTCGAAAATGAATTTCCGGAATTCTAGTTAGAAGGTATACATATATATAATATATCGTTTGAAAGCGAAGAATTTTAGAAAAAACAATATCTAATATAGAAACTAATAGAGAGTGTCGAAAAATTATAAATAATAATTTGTGAAAACTAATATTATTTAACTGAAATCACATGTTTTCTAGGAAATTAAATGAAATTTATTAACTAAATGTAAACTTTTTTAAGTTTGAAAAAAGTATTTAAACTCCACCTAATCAAGGCAGTGACATTGTTAAAAAACTATTTCATAGTACTAATGTGAAAGAAGAAGTGAAATATAAAAATATTTCATCAATGTATAAAGCATATGTTTATAACCTGATAAAAATCTAAAATCTGATATTATATTTAAATAATTTGGTGTCAATATCCATTTATTCCGAAAAATTGTCATGTTACCTTTTAAAAAATTAAAGTGAATAATTTGATGAATTTTCCCTTAGTTAAATCCAAACATTATCCTCTTAAAATTAGTGTAAAAACCTTTGACCTATCTATGGTAGTCAATGAAAATCTCATGATTTCTTTGTGGTAAACTTTACAATGAAAAATAACAGTTTGATAACTAATAGGCATACAATCCATAATTATTTATAGGTTTAACATAGAGATATAATTTCAAATCTCTCTAGGCATATATATATTGCTCAGAGACTGGAGCTTTGTGGTTCACAAAAACAGATGGAGTACCGAGGTTTTTATTGTCTATCATTGATGTAATTAATAGAATTTTTGTTATTTTAGTGGTGTTAATGATTTCTTAGCTGTAAACTTTAAGTTATAGCTCTGTTAAAAGTGCAATTAAAAAAAAAAAATAATTGCTCAACATTGCCAGAAAATAATTTCTCTTCAATGTAAAAAAGTAAGTGAAAGTTGGGTGTTGCGCACACCAGATTTTTTAATTTATTCCGAGTTAAGCTGGTTTCTGTTTTTTCTACTACTTTTAGTTGAAAATATTTCCATTTAAAAATGTTAGGACTCCCTCAACTCAATTATTTTTAAGATAAGCATTTCACTTATTCAAAAGCTTAGTGGTAATATAATCAGAATCATTTAATTATTATAAGTAATATAATGGTATTAATATTATGTGTGCATTTGGGACTTCCATTGAAATATTAAATATAATAATAAGCCAGATATAATTATTAAATAATATAATAATGAAAATATAATTAATAATCAACATAAATAATAATCATAACATAAAAAAATAAATATAACATAACATTTAATATTAATAACATAATATTAAATATAATAATACAATAAACATATAATAATAATAATAATACGTATAACATAATGATATATAATAAGCCAATTGTTGAAGTTTAGTCAAGCTTCACTCCAAATTTCCTAGTAAATAGTTTTCTAGTAATTTGTATAATTTTTACTTCTTTGATTTATGGAATAAAGTGGAAAAACAATAAATAGTAATTTAGCGTAATTCTTTTTTAAAATTATTATTTGTAGTATTGAAAAACATTAATGATGTAACTCTATGTGTTAAATAGGTAGTTTTAATATAAGTTTGTCACATTTCAATGATAAAAATTTATTTCAAGAAGTTAAGTATGGATTGGCCAGCTATTCTGAAAATAATATTAAAAAGATAGATGCAATGGTTAATGAAATCAGTAATTTTGAAAAACGAAGTTACAAGACAAACTCATTTTTGCTTGTAATGTTAAACTTTTTTTTATTGGAATTTTGTTTAGATACTCTTGGTGATCTTTCCTAAGATTTAGGAAACACTGCTTAAAGTTAAACCTCTTAATCAAACTTCAAAATGTCTAATGTTATAATACTTATTAATTAGTAAAATATTTGTTAAGTTTTTAAAATAAAGTTTTTAAAAAATATTTTTATTTCATTGTTGAATGATTTACCTTTGACTTTTTTCATTTTCGCTTTAATTTCTAACCATTTAGTACAGTTATACAAGGCGATTCCCACTGGTAGTAACATTGCAATCGTGACAAAGAAAACCTTCCACCCTGATACGGTACTTATAGGTCCACCACATGATTCGCAACACTTACTCATATTGGTTACTAGATTATAAATTATAGCGAATTTTAATTATAATTTTTTGAACAAACCATTGTGATTTAGTGACACACATATTAAAAGGTTATAATTTTGTTAAACATGTGTTTTCATTATTATTTTTAAGTAATTTTAGTTTTTAGTGGTGTATTACTATTTTTGTGAAAGAAAAAAATTGCAATGAGTAATACTTATAGACAATTTTATCTTCCCATGGGTAAGAAACATTCACGAAAATCAGAAAACAGTTCTTATGAAACTATAGACCTTCTTGAAGAGAGTTTAGATTCTTGGGGTTTTGAAAAAAGTTTTACACCATTAGAAAAAACTGCATCAATCCAAGGTATTGCTTCTGTATCTGGTGTCCTTTCATCTGTAAGGAGCAATACCACATTAAATGATGTAGACGATATCCCTCCAGATGAATCATTCGAACAATCTAAAAGAGAAAAAAGGCATTTTGCTGCAAAATTATTGGATGATGCGAAATTGATTGATGATGTTAAATTTTACAAACCTACCATCCAATTAGCAGAAGATTTATTAGTTGATACTGTAGATAAGGCTAAGAAGATACTTTCTGGGGTTAAAGTTAAAGTTGATACTGGTATCAAACCATATCCTAATGTTGTTTGGCCTACTCAAGCTGAATTTAATATTTTTGTTGGTCTTGATAAGATTGATAAGTATGTTAGCACATGGAAGCTACATTTCGATTGGAAATACCACATTGATTTAAAACAAATAAATGAATTTCCTTTTACCAAAGAATATGTCTATGAAGTGAAGTTCAGCTGCCCCAGGTTAAAGTTTCCTGTAGCTCAAGCAACAGCTAGTGTATATTTCTTTATTGGCGTTAGCTATTCCAATCCTTTGAATTCACTTGTTGATGTTATGTTTATGGTTGAATCTACAGGTTCTAAATTTTATCCTGGCCATGTACATTTTAATCAAAAGTGGCTTGAGTTAGTCGTGGATTCAAAAGTTCACTTCTATAAGCAAATTCGCTTATGAATTTCAGTCCTCTTTGACAAAGATACAGTATTAAAGATAATAAATAATAAAAAAATATAACAAGTTCAAAAATGTTCAATTTGTTCACTATTTTAAGTCTTTTATGACCACCACCCCAGACATTCTTGACATTCACTCCTTCCTCAACAATATACAACGGTCAACCATCGAGTATTCAAATAAAAAATTAGCTTCTCCAAAAACAGTTGTTACATTTAGTCATTAGAAATATTTTATTCGGTGATGATGAGTTAGGATCCTCTTAAATCTTGAACCACAAGAATGTCTTTCAAGAACTCCTTCCTCAACAATATACAACGGTCAACCATCGAGTATTCAAATAAAAAATTAGCTTCTCCAAAAACAGTTGTTACATTTAGTCATTAGAAATATTTTATTTGGTGATGATGAGTTAGGATCCTCTTAAATCTTGAACCACAAGAATGTCTTTCAAGAACTTAACTTTCATTTATAACCAAGACCTAGTATACAACTTAAACCAGAAACAAATCAAGGATAAAACAAAAAATCATGGAAAACATTTAATAAAGTGATCGTTGATGTCAAGAGGGACTAAAAAGTTCAAATAGACCATGCTTCAATTCAACAAAAAAAAAAAAAAAAAAGGAAATTTAAGTTCTGTTGTTTTTTGTGTCACTTTTTTTTGCTCAATAACTAAAATATTAAATTTATGTATTTATTAATTACAACATACCAAACTATATAAACTTTTGTTCAAAAGCAAGTGGAATCTAACTTTGTCAAAAGCATTAAAGATTTTTTTTTCTCAACCATCTGAATTAGAATTATTCACGATATTTAGCAGTATATACAATGTTAGAATAAGAATATTTATCAGTATCTTGCTTGAATATAGGATCCTTACTTTAAGAAAAACTTCATTGTTCTATAAGCATTTAATATTTTTATACTGATTCTGAGCAAGTAGTTTACTATTGCTTCCGGGATTCAAAAGAAATCCTGATTTATCCCTATTAACAATACGTTAGTGCTGACACAAAATATCAAAAACATTTTCTTTCATCAAAATAACTCCATTAACTTAACTAAACCAATCACGAATATCTTAATCAGACACATGACAGCTTAGTGCTGATTCAATTTCAGTAATTGTGGAGCATTTTATCTTTAAATTTGTATTGTTAATTTTTAAAGTTAAATAATTCTTTTACATTTTGTACAATGAATTCATTTTTCTAACTCGTCTTCCTCTTTAGGATCCAAAATGGGTTTCGGTTGACAATGGAATCTATATAAAAGAAGAGATTCAAATTTAATGGTACATGTCTTACAAGTTGAAAAAAAAGAAATTTCAAAGCATTATTTGGACTAAAGATTTTCAACATTCACCCGTAAAAAGGATGAGTGAAATTTGCTAGCAAGTGTATCGTTATCACAAGAGAAATATCTGCCTTGGGGCCATCATTAAAAAGTCAAGCATTAGCTTATTGTCATGAAAATAGTAAAACCTATCCCTAATTAGTGAGGTAAACAGAACTCTTGATTTACCCTAATGAGGGCTTAGAAAGAACTGAAATAGATAAAAAAAAATTTATGTTTCTGAAAAATGCGAAAGTATTTAATATTGCTAATAGCAAGGAAGATGAAAAGTATATAAGAAGCCTCAGAAAAGTTAAAACAGATTTAATTTTGGCAAATATGATTACAGAGATTAAAGAACCTTTTATATATTGAGAAATTGATAAATTTATGTTACTAAGTTCAGTACTAAGGTTGTAATATTCTGTAATTTTTTGTAGGATATACGGCCATGTGCGAAGCAGTGTGGCATAAATCAGTTCCTTTAGTAAAATTATTATTAGATGCTGGTGCAAAAGTAGTTCCTACTCATTTTCTTGTTCACTATGCTGTGCTCCATCGCCAACCGGAAATGGTTTCTGCACTTTTAGAGGCTGGTGCTTTAGTAAATATAAGAGATGCTTGTGGTGACACACCTCTTATTACGGCGGCAACATCTTCCCAAGCTGACATGGTCGATCTTCTTTTATCTTATGGTAAATTTTTATATAACGATCATGATTATAAGACTTTTAATTATTATGCTGTGCATATTTTTTTTAATAGATTTTTTTACTACATTTTAAAATTTATTGAATTAAGTTTTTAATCATACTATAACAGTGCGATTTTAATGCTGTGTGTCATAAGGATCAATGACAGGAAAAATGGATGGATAAAATGCAGCTTCTCAATTTAATTTAGTTTTATAAAATATAAATCTTGTACTGATAAAATTGAATACAGACCATTCAATGAATGCTCGAAAAGAGGGTATAGAAAGAAATGGCGGTGATATAATTTTTGACTTTGGGACATTGTTTGGACTAATAAGGAGGTAAGCATACCAAAAATCCGCTCTCGAAGGTGGTGAACCAAATGTGAGGAGCGTCTAGAAGGTAACTTTTTTCATGTTTTCGCGTATATCAGAAAAACTATCCATCCCATCGACAAAGACGTTCTATATAAAATTAAGCTGATAAAATTTGCAATATGGTTGATTATATACCTTTTCCTACTATCATGCTTAGTTTCCGAGATATCCATTCTCAACTATGACTAATTTTGAAAAACAAAAAACATTTTGCCTCCTGTTTATTGCTGTCTTTTGAATTTTCACTTATATCAGGAAAACGATCTATCACATTGTCAAAAACGCTCTATACCAAATTAAAGCTGGTAACATTTGCAATATGATTGATCCTATATCTTTTTTTGCTATTTCGCTTAGTTTCCGAGATATCTGTCCTCAATTATTGCTAATGGGGAAAAAAAAATTTACTTCATGTTTTTTACTGTATTTGACCAGCTAATTCTGGATTGCTTGTTTCTACAATTAAGCAGTGAGGAAGAAAGTTTTTAATAATTAAATTTTCTTTAAGAATATATATTTTACTAGTTTATCTCCCACGATTCAAAAGTTAGATCAATTATAACTTTATATGTCAATTCTGGGATTTGTAGAAAAAAATAATTTTTATAATAAACGTTATTGTATTTATGTATGTGTACATAAAGATGTAGATGCATAGAGACTTAGAGCAATATAATAATAACAAATAGTGCTTCCCCACATCTGGTTCATCACCTTGGAGTGGAAACTTTTAGTATGCTTACCTCCTTACTTGTCCGAACAATGTCCCAAAGTCAAAAACTGTTTCGTTGCCATTTCCTTCTATAATCATTAATTCAATTGACTAAAATTGACTTCATTGGGCTGGTCATTTCATCATACTGGATGTATATTTGACTTTTGGGATGGTAATGAAAGAACCGTTTCACAGCTGTGGCATATAAAAATAAACCTGTGCCAAATCAGCCTAAGAAGGGTTTTAGATTCATTATTTCTCCGCTGTTGGATGAAGCGGTTCAGCCGCCAACAATGGCTACGCTGTCGTCCTCTGACAGCTTATCAGTTATAATGGACACTTTAGGACCAAATGAGGTGAGAGAAAACGCATGGGAGTTGCTCACAGGAAGAAAAAGATCAGTCATAACTAATGAAATAGATCTGAGAAAACAGCTTAAAAAGGTGAGTGAACTTACTATCACTCAAAATAGTTTAGAAGTTTTAAGCAACGTCAGTCAAGAATCAGAACACAACCTGCTCGTATAGTTCCTCCTCCTATACACTTAAATGATGTTCAGAATTACTCAGAACTGGTTTCATACCTCCAAAATGTAGGCGGTGTCAATAGCTTCAAGCTCAAAACAACAACAAAAGGCGTCAGTGTATACCCTGAAAATGGAGATATATACCGTATACTAGTGGCTAGTTTAAGGCAGGGTGGTGGTGATTTTCATACATACCAATTACCAGAAGATCGAAGCCCCAGAGTAGTATTGAAAAATCTTCACCACGCAACACCGGTGGATGCAATTAAATATGAGCTACGATGTCTTGGTTATGAAGCCACTAACGTTGTGAACATAATATCACATTTTAAGAAGCCGTTACCCATGTTCTTCACAGATATATCAAAGGCAACCTTCAATGAAAAGATTTTCGATGTAGAATTTTTATACTATAAAAAAGTGAAAATTGAAGAACCCAGAAAGAAAAGAATCATCCCACAATGTATTAGATGCCAGCTGCACGGACATACTAAAACGTACTGCAATCATTCACCAAAATGCGTGAGATGTGGCCTAGGCCTTGACAGTACTATTTGCACCAAGCCAAGAGAAACAGGCGCGAAGTGTGCCAATTGCGGAGGGTCACATCCAGCAAATTACAGGGGTTGTAAAACTTTAAAAGAATTAAGGGAAGCCAGAAATCTCAGATAAATTTTGAAAAACCCTACCAAAACACAAATTAGCGTACCTCCAGCAATCCATGAGCTTCCACCTCTACCTGAACCTCAACAGTCTCACTCGGCTTCCTTCACATCAAGTGAGCAGCATCCGAAGAGACAACCTCCACGAACAGTATCTGAAGCAGTACCAGGTCCCAACAGCAGGGATTTTCAGGCATGAGAAAGGGAAAACCTCTGGCTGACATTCATCCAGCATCGGCTCAGCTGCTCAACTTAATAAGTGGGTTGAATAACCTCATCCAGGCCCTTTTCAGTCTCCCCCAAGAACTTTCACACGTCACCCAGGCCTTATTCACTGATTATGACAACTAACAGATGACTGTGGGCTCCACGTCCGTTCTTCTTTGGAACGCAAACGGGGTTAATCAACATAAAACTGAACTTGACATGTACTTGCACGAAAAATGGACTGACATTGTCCTTATCACTGAAACACACCTAACTCCACGTTCTAAATTTTACATTCCCGGTTACAGAATACACAGAACTGATCACCCAGACAATACAGCTCATGGTGGCACAGCAATACTAATTAAAACATCACTAAAGTACCACTCACTACATTTACCCATTACACCTGATATACAATCTACAGCCATTACACTATATACCCAAAACCAAACCATTACCTTTGCTGCAGTGTACTTTCCTCCGAGGTACCTGCGATGTTTTGCAATTTCTTCAGTCGTCTTGGGAGGTGTTTTATTGCTGGTGGCGATTACAATGCCAAACACCAGTCCTAGGGATCACAACTTTGTACTCCTAGAGGAAGAAACCTAAAGTCTGCCATCTATCAGCTTTCATTAGACACGATCTCACCTGATACACCTACTTACTGGCCAACTTCAAGATAGAAAACACCATACCTACTTGATTTTTTCGTCACTAAAGGACTAAGGACTGTACTATATACTATAAATGCAAACTGCGATCTTTGTTCTGATCATTCTCTTCTCAGCTTAGTACTGTGTGATGAGCCATGTACTACAATGAAATGACCATCTCTTGTAGGAGGAATTATCGATTGGGATGGTTATCGAGATAAGTTAAACGGAATGCTCTCTATTCCAATGTCTCTAAGGAACGAATATGAAGTTGAAGAAGCTGTGGATAAATTCACAAACAGCATTCCAAAAGCTATATTGTCTTCTTCTGTCCTAAGATCCAACAGAAATGAGTGGCTTCCAACTTATCCTCAGTAGATAAGAGATTTGATCAGGGCAAAGAGAAGAGCTCACAAAGTATGGCAAACTGGTCGACTGCCATCTGACAAACGGACATTCAATAGACTTAACAATGAACTAAAACAACATATTCAAAGTTATAAAACTACATCAGAAATCTCTCTACTGACGATGGGAGCTTATGGAGGCATACAAAAAAACTTGTAAGTCATCGTGAAGTGTCTGTACCTCTCCGAAACGAAGATCATTCCTGGGCCATGTCAGATATAGAAAAATCTGAGCTATTCGCTATCCATCTTTCTTCTGTTTTTACTCCACATACTGACTTCACCAACATTGAACACGAAGAAAAAGTACTAAACACTTTAGACATTCCACTACAATAGAGTCTGGCATAAGGGTCTTCTCTTCAAACTTAAGACGATACTCCCTCCTACCTACCATCTTATCCTTCAATCCTTTCTTTCTGACAGATTTTTCTCTGTCTGCCAAGGCTCAGAACTTTCTTCAATAAGACCAGCTTTAGCAAGAGTTCCTCAGGGGTCAGTACTCGCTCCGCTATTATACATCATATACACACACGACATTCCTAACAGCGCCAGAACTATTATAGCAACTTACGCAGACCATACAGCTATTCTAACAAGACATAAAAACCCAACACACGCCTCGCAGACTTTACAACATCATCTAACCAAACTAAACGATTGGTGCAAACTCTGGAAAATTTGACTCAACCAAGACAAATCACAACACATCACTTTCACTCTTCGACATGGAACATGCCCTCCTATTTACCTTGACAATGCCGAAATTCCTCAAACAATAAAATAAAATTACTTGGACTGACATTCGACAGAAGAATGACATGGGGTCCACATATCAACAAAAAAAGAAAAACATTAAACCTCAGACTACGACTGTTATACTCACTTCTCTCAAGATGCTCAAAATTAAACTTAAAACAAAAACTGAACACTTACAATTATCTGCTTAAGCCCAAATGGACCTACGCTTCAGAAATTTACGGAACAGCCAAAACAACCCACATACGAAAACTACAAACTTTTCAGTCTAAAACTTTCAGAACCATAACCAAATCTCCATGGTACGTCACAAACATTACATTACATAAAGACCTTCAAATACCAACAGTTAACGATCACATACGGACACACTCAACCGATTTCACAATAACTTACATGGACATGCTAACCCACTTATACAAAGTATGGCTACATTTAACATCCCTGAAAACACTTAGGAGGCTCAAATGGAGCTGGATGAGAAATTTCCTCGCTTAAAAATATGCTAAAATCAAGACAGGAAGGGATGCTGCTGGGCACTCCTCCCCATCACGCTGATCAAGCCACTACCGTTCTCTTACCGAAAGCAGACCCACTAAGTGTCATTGCTTATGACAGGTGTGGGCGAATAAATGAATTAAAAAAAAAAAAGATTCATTATTTGGTAAGGAGTTTTTTTTTAAATAATAGT